TCTGTCAAACGTCGCGAACGAAGAACGTCTCCGGGGCCCGGAAAGCGTAATTGTTAATCTTCCTCGAGAAGCTAACGAGACACGGATCGACTCGCGGTGAAACGCACCCCGATCGCGGAGGAATCCCGCGAGTCGTCGTTTCCGCTCGATCGATACGTTCCTCTTGCTAATTAATTTCCGTTAATTGCACGCGGGATCACGGCTCACTAACGAAGCCAGACACGTGTACTTAGCTACGTAGATCGCGTTGTTTGACCCGTTGTCGAATATTCCGCGGCCGTTTGGGCCCCTCTCGCGGTTCGAGCTGTGACAGCGCGCTGCACCGCGCTAATTAACGCGTTAATAAGGATAAAGAACGGGGCCAGCGATAAAGAACAGGACACTTGCGTCGATACGTTACACGGCGGCGGTCTCGTGCCGTCGAATTTCAGACACGAGTCCTTTCGTTATCGAATTTGAGGGAAAATTCCGCGGACAGATGTCTCGGCGCGGTTTATTCAGCCACAGTGCCTCGGCGAGTTTCAATGCACGGTAATCCCACGAGAAGCCGGCGAAATGCTAATTCATCGCGGTATTCAATAGCCAGCCGTTTCCCTCAAATTCTCCATGAATCTGAAAGCGACTGCGGGTAAAAATCCCGGGAACAGGTGTGCACCATTTATCTAACCTCCGCGTGTCCGTTCGAGTTACTTATCTACCATCGGCGAGTATCTAACTCGGCTATCCGGAGGTCCCGAATCGGACGAAGCGAGTTCGCGAATTCAGCCCATTCATTAGCGTCCAATTTCGCCGCGTAATTCGCCTCTCCTGGCTTCTTCGCTGCCGTTACAAATCTTTCAGACCCCTGAATAGCCTTTCGTTTCTACTCCCTGTACCATTCCGTAGCTAACCGCTGTCAAAATTCGATTATCTATCCAGGGTGTTTACGCGGGATTCCCGAATAACGCGTGGAAAAATAATTCCAATAATTGACAGTCGGTGATCGATAAACGAGATCGATCTCGTTTCACGGCAATTACCGCGACGAGGGGCGGATTTTCTTGGCTCGGCTCGCGGAAAATCCGCAATCCGGAGGACCCAGGACGGTACCGGTCGACGGGGTGTTACGCGATGGTAATTATGCTCGGCAGGAATGATGAATCGTTGGAAATATTTTGTGGAACATCATCGGGGACGCGGGACGAGCGTCGTTAATTCATTCCTGGACACGGAGGCCAGCAGATAAATGCGCACCGGCCGACGGTGGCGTTCGAGCGTTATAAATGACGTCCGTATTCATAATTTTCGAAACGCCACCGCCCAGTGACAGGCCTACGGATTATCTATCGGCTGGACGAGCCTCGTATCGCTCCCGCCCCTTTCCGATAACCACCCTGCATCCTCTGACGAGCTTTTCACCGTCTAATTTTTCCCCGATCGCGCGCCAGGCGCCAAACGGGCGCTCGCGGACTGCGAGCGACGGACCAGTTATTTTGACAGCGTTTAGCCAACGCGCGAAGTGCGTGTCGCGCTCGTTACGCGACAGGGTTCGGAAAAAGGCTACCAAACTCGGGTGAAAGCCGGCAATTAGAATCCGTACGCCGATTCGTGCTCCGGCCTACGTTTTTACGCGCTAACGTTGCGCGCACGGCTATCGGCAACGTTTTTCCCCAGTTGAATTTTTCATCCACACGTAACGGCATCCGCGTTTGCATTGTTCGGTAATGACCACAGACGAATTTAGCCAGGAAACGAATTCCCGCTGCACGTAGACCGGCAATTTGCTCGGCCGCGGAGCGAAAAGATTCGATACCGTGCGAAATCGGAGCGAAGCACAAAAGCCACCGACGCACAGCGTTCGAAAGTTCACGCGGCAGTGACGCAACGACGCTTTAACGCTGATGCAACGAGAAAGTCGAACGCCCGCGCGATAATATTCGTTATTCGGCTCGCACGCTCCGCTGCCAACGTCGAACGCCTCGCGATCCGTCTAATCGCCATTATTCCCCGGCGGTCGAAGAAGCGTCGACGAAGTTGCCTGGAAAAGGAAACTAACCACCGCACACCGGTGGAATCCAGGCCTCTGCGGGCTATGTCCCGTGGCACCCTCGAAACTGCACGTTCGCCGCGTCGAACCGTCGCGTCACCCACGAGCGGACCAACGCGCGCGCTCGAAAAACTCGTTCACCTCGAGGAGAGGCTGTCTAATCAGCGGCCATCCAACGAGACAGCGAAGAAACGTGCTCGGGGAGGAAACGCGTCGCGTTAATCAGCGTCGAGGAAATCCGAAACGGAGCAGCTTCGAACCCTGCTCGAGCAGACGCGGGTAATTGGTCTCGCGCTGCACGGATGAAAAAGGGCTGGCAGAGGGTGGCAGAGGGTGGCAGCTGGACGGAAGGAGGCGAGCGAAACGTCCTGCCGATAAAGAAGGAGGCGAATAGAGAAAGAGGAGTGGAAGGCGAGCGGTTTGTCGTTATCATCGGCAAAAACCGCGAGTGGATGAGGTTGGTCAGGAAGCTGGGTGTGCCAGGGTGGACCTAACAAGGGCAGTTTTTAGACCGGCTTGAATGCATTATGGATGGCCGGAGTTATGTATGACTCTATCATGCCCGGAGCTCGAGAAGCACCGAGCGTACACCTCCTGTCTCCATACCCTGTCTCCATCCCCTGTCCCCAGCGTCGGGCTACACGCTGCCAACCGCACTGCCGAGAGAACTTCTGTTCCGCGCGTACGCGTTCACGCTCCTTCCATTGCGCTTTTCTACGCGCCTTTAATGGCCTCGGAGATTTCTTTCTCGGAAACGGCGCGAGTTTCTCATTACGCGCGGCTAGTAATTTCGCTGGCTCGAACAGGGAGTCGAGCGAAGCCGTCCGTTTTGCCTGCTTCTTCGCTCCCATCTTCCTGCTCCGCTCGCCATTGGTCTTTCGAGATTTGGATCGCGAGTCAGAGGGTTTCCAAAGCTGATCCGGGATTCGGCAGAGGGTACCGAACGTACCCTCGTTCCCTCGTTCGGTTCGGAGAGGAGAGGAGAGTATAATGGAATACTCGCGGAGCACGCGTCTCTCGGCGGATTGACGCGACGTTGACATCGACGTCGACGTCGCGTTGGAAAAATCGTCAATCAGGAACGCGAGGACTGTCGGGAGGATGCTAGGACCGAAACTCGAGGCGGAGTCCCGCGACGCTGCGTTTCGAGCGACTCGCGAATCGCAACGCGCTGCCAGCTCGTTTAATTGACCGATTATTTCGCGCCGTTCGCGCACTCTGCGCGCTAGCCTGACAGGAAACAAAAGTAATTCCCGTCAGTCTCGTGATTTACTCGGCCGCCATAGTCCTTCGGCATCGCAGACGTGGATTTTTTCCTTGCGAGCGGATCGCTCCGCGGAAATTCTTGCGACACTAGACGCCACCGATCCCGACGCAATTATCCAGTTTCCTTCGCTCCATCGATCCTCCAGTGATTCGCGAACTTTCGAATAATTCCGTCTCGCTTCGTAAAGCGCGATCCGCGTTTCTCATCCGGATCACGGCAAAAACGAACGACAGCTAGGAGGAAAACGATCGTTCGGACAGGAAACGAAGGATCGCGCGTCCTAATAGCCTAGATAGGCGTCGTTGAACGATCGCGAATGGTTGATCAACTGCCGGCTGACGTTAGTGGAACGGAGCCGAGAAATCGGAGGGGCATTGTGATAGCCTAGGATGATTCTTTACACGCGTACCTTCTCCACGGTCCATCGCGGTTCCTCCGCCATAGTCCTGCTGA